CCAGGTGGTCAACATATATTAAGTTCTCCCAATCATAGTATTTCATGTGATGTACACCTATTATGCCAAAAATGTTGCTGAACGATTTGAACTGGATAAAAATACGATGAGACGAACATTTGTTTACAAAATAAAAATAGTTTGGTTGCCAATGAAAATACCATGTTCATTTGCATATTGACCGTGAAAATACCGAAAACATTATTGCATGGGTGATATGCAAATTAGTTTGGACCAAAATAAGTGACTGCCTAAAAGTACCATTACTGTTGTTCAAATTTCATTTCACTCGGCAAGTATATTCATGTACCCCAAGGGGAAAATATCGTACTTCTAAATATTGTTCTGCTATGTTTCGAAAAACGGTACTCCTGAAAGGACAGTAACTTTGTTTGCTCCCGAACCTCATTTGCATTTGGGGTGTGAAAATACAGAATCAAAATAAACTGCAGTACATGTGTAATAATACCAATTACATGTATTATTATTTTCCCAATTTTTCTTCATAACAGTAACCATAAATAAACTACTCTTTATTAATTATTTATAACAGGCTTTTTGTATTTTCTGATACATTTATAAAAAAAACATCGGCTGGCGTTCATCTCTCATGCACAATCTATACTACATGTACAATGTACTAGTATTTCTACACACACTCACAAAAAGCTGACGCTCAATTGCGTCTTGGCTTCCACGCCTTCTTGGTTTCCATGGTGCTTGCAAAAATGTCCAAATGTGAGACTTCAATCTACAGAATGTTTATAAGTAACTTACAGTGATGAAATTTAATATTAAAAAATGTACAGTCCAGGCTCACATAACAATTATTTATTTTATCACTTCTTTCTTGGTAAAATTGCAGTGATACACAGTCCCTCCACAGTGGAGGGGGACTGTGATTGATGTACTGGCAACTATGATTAATTTATTCTTGGCGTCATGCTTTAGTATTTTCATTGAGGTTTTATCTTTTATAGTAGCCCAGTTTCTTTTCTCTGCTTCCCTTCAAAATTGCGATGCGCTCTGACAACAACCAAAGTTATTGATAAGTCTGAGCCACCTTACTTGGTACCATAATATGCCAGTGAGGAAAATACTCTTGTCCAAAAAATGAAACAAATATCATTAGCTGCCAAATGTTCTATTCCAGCAAGATAGTACCAACAAAATTATAAACTATAACTTTCATATTTGTGTAGTGATTATCCACAACTAATAAAGACTGATGCAGTAAAATAATGATTTATATATATGGTTTGCGAAGAATAAAAAAAAAGTGTATTTGTATTTTTGGTACCTACAGTCCCTCAGGGAAATACGGTAGACGTATACTACCGTAAAATTCCTAATTGAGGCCGCTGCTTTAATTAAAATTCATTTTTTTAATGGGCCTTCAGATGCGTGAAGTCTTGGTGCGGCTTTAATTTGGGCATTCACTTCGGTAACAGAGGGAATTATTTTCAGAAAACAAAGGCCTGAAGGGATAATGATATGCTAATGAGATGCACGACACTCAATTGCAACTTTGTTGCAATTCTAAGCACACTTTCGGATTTTCACACATAGACAAACAAACAGACTGTCACACTGTACAACATAATGCACAATAAACAAGCCATGCATGGCACAGTCCCTGTTAGTTATCAAATTTAAGATATATAGTTTTGTTTATAGTAATATAGCTGGAATATAACCATGTCAGGAATATGATTATGATGATTGTTTAACATTAAAATGATTGACATTTGTATCTGATCGTCAAACAAGTACTTGTCCATATTGGGAGATATTGCTCTGGAACAGCATTAATTAAAACAAAATCAGCCATTTTGAATACATGTATATTTCTATAACATGATGTATAACGAATATATAAAATTTTAACCTAACCAGTCAAAGCATGTCAGAGATATGGCTCTAGAAGCCCAATCATTAAAACAAAATGGCCGCTAGTCTGCCATTTTGAATCCGATCTGAAAAATAAAATGATGTGCATCAGGAACCCGTAATGTCTAATGTACTAAGTTTGAACGAAATCCATCCATAAATGCCAGAAATGCTTGATATTTGATGATTTTTTAGCACAAAAATGGCCACCATTCGGCCATTTTGAATAGGATTGTCAAACCAATATATCTGTATATCTATGACATGATGTATAATGAATATTAAAAATTTGAACATAATCAGTCAAAGCAAGTCAGAGATATGTGTCTAGAAGCCCATTCATTAAAACAAAATGGCCGCCAGTCAGCCATTTTGAATCCGATCTGAAAAATAAAATTAGTGCATCTGGAACCCGTAATGTCTAATGTATGTACCAAGTTTGAACGAAATCCATCCATAAATGCCAGAAATGCTTGATATTTGATGATTTTTTAGCACAAAAAGGGCCACCATTCGGCCATTTAAAATAGGATCGTCAAACCAATATATCTGTATATCTATGACATGATGTATAATGAATATTAAAAATTTGAACATAATCAGTCAAAGCAAGTCAGAGATATGGGTCTAGAAGCCCATTCATTAAAACAAAATGGCCGCCAGTCAGCCATTTTGAATCCGATCTGAAAAATAAAATTGTTTGCATCAAGGTCCCATAATGTCTAATGTATATACCAAGTTTGAACAAAATCCATATGTAAACAGTCGAGAAATGCTTGATTTTGATGATTTTTTAGCACAAAAATGGCCGCCATTCGGCCATCTTGAATCAGATCGTGAAACAAATTGATGTGCATATGTATAATATCATGTATGATGTATGTGTGAAGT